GATGACAAATCCTGAACAGTTTTAATATTTTTAATATTTAAAATTTATCAATATATATGACGAGTATATATTTTAGTATAAAGACAACAGGGCATGCAATGAAGTGGTTTGACGTACAACGAAAAGCACCTGAAGATGGCACTTTTGTGCTGAAACATGTAGTGCAAGAGAGAAGAGTAAGGTGAATAAATGTATGCACTGTAAGACGGTTAGAATAAATCATGGACATAAATCAGTGCAACAGGACGCTAAAATGTAACAGATTGTCATTTATCTGATTGTGGTCAGATTAACAGATAAAGTTAATTATTACCATAATCATTAAGGAGTGGTGTTGTATTTTCTGTTTATATAATTGTTTTGTATAATGCATGATGTAAGTTTTAATTTTTATTTTAGCATTAATTAATTTTTCCAAAAATTTTTTACAGCTTACATTTGCTGGTTTTGCTTTCAGTTGGTGAGGAGAAATTCTTGCACCAGCTTTACTTGGAGGAACAGTTTGGACCAGTGACCCGAACAAATGAGATTGACAAAAGGAAACGAGATAAAGGAACTTCATCGGGAGCAGCTATCCCATACTCATATGATGACAATACATCTGGGCAGGGACCAACAGAAGAGGAGGAGGTAGAAGGAGAGGAAGAAAAGGAGGATGAGGAAGAAGAGGATGATAGTGATGTTGATTTTGGTAAGGAATGTTAAGCTGGTTGTTGGCTTAGTTGTGTGTGTGTTTTGAAAAGATTTATAGTGTTAGTATGGATTTATTTTTGTTAAGTTGTTAAGGCATTTGAAAGCTTATATTTTATAATAAAAAATTCAAGAATAACCCTAGTATACAAGGATACATATGTGACTTAATGCTTTTCCTCTTGCTGTGGTGGTATCATCACTTTGCCAAGACATTAGTGATATTAATAGTACTAAGCTGATATTCAGAAATTTACAGGAACTAGTCTCATTATCAACATAAACATCTCACTGGTCAGTAGCTTCAAGTTTCTAGTTTAAGTGGGCACCAGATGAGTTTATCAGCTTTTGCTAAAACAGTGACTTGCAGTCTTGAAAGAAATTAATTAACTTCTTCACCGACCACATGTATTTCATTTGTAAGCCCATCGGGGGGTCACCCAAACACACTGCAACATTTCATGTTAAACTCATTCTCTCCTGTAAACATTATTTGATTTTATCTGTTGGCAGAAGTGTTATGGTAATTAACAACAAACCTCTATCTCTGGCTGTGGCTGTTTTAATATATGTGTATATGGTTAGGTTAGCCAATGCCACAACAAAATGATTTATAATCAATTATTGTTTTACAATTGAATATTTATTTCCTGCTACATGTATCGGTCTCATAGGACCAACAACAAACCAAAACAAAGTCTGTGGCCTGTAGTCCGCAAACATGCTATACTGACCAAGCGACTACTGCTTGTTGGTGAAGTTAGTGCCAACTTTTGCAGATAGAGGGTGCCACATGGTCAGTGCAATGGATCCCCATGGCAATTAATCTTGATTTTCTAGACTGGAACCACTATTTCCTTGAAATAGGTCATCAGTTATCCTCACGAGGCTGAGTGGACCCCGTTTCAGACCTATTATTGCTCAGGAAAGCTGATAGCGCCGGGAATCGAACCTGGGACCTCTAGTTCTGTAGGCATGAACTCTGACCACTGGACCATGGAGGCGGTCCATAGGACCATCATCAGACAGTAATATAAAAATATGTCTAGGGTCATTGAACACCTAATATGGATCCATATTGGTGCAGTGTGTCATATTCTGTGATACAGAATTTGTACCTCAAGTTAAATATAAGTATTGAAATTAAATATATAAAACTTCAGTGATATATTAACAGATATATTAAATACAATTATATTGATTTTCTGTTATAGGTAATTGAAAGATGTATTAAAATTATTAAAAATTATGTATACCAAGTTTCAAAGTTGTAACCTGTTTGGGCGACTGACATACAGTTCTGATTGGTAATCGGATTTATTAGATCTTCACAAATGTTGAATAGATGGTAATTGTCATGTGTTTGATATCTGCAAGTTTCTCTATTCACATTGTAGTTTTTAGCAGTCACACTGTTCTAATTTGCAGCCAGCATTCTGATCAAATTTTTGTTTGTACATAATGAAGTTAAATGTAAGGAAACAATCTAAATTAATGTGTTCTCTGGGCAGATTTATGTGTGGACGTAACTCAGGTGGGACCTCAGCAGGCACATGAGATGAACATGTGTGGTGCAGCATATGGAATGAGTGGTAATGACTTCTATACCTTCTTGACTCGAGACATTGAGGAGAAGGAGTCATTGCGACAAGCACGTGAACAGGAAGAGGAAAAGGCCATGTATTCGGTGAGTAAGCTTGTACAGTTGATGATACCGTGGGCCACATGTTGCTGGCTTCTCAATGTAGAGGTCTGGCTCCAATTCCAGACATTAGGGATTGATGTGATAGTTGCATTTGAGGCCTCATACCAAGGGGCATTCCTGCAGCTAAAAAACAATTATGCATAATGTAGCAATGCTGGAATGTTTGCTACCTTGTGTTTAACTGTCTACAAAACTCTAAGACTTAGGGAGAATGGGCATATTACACATAAAATATGGATTTCAATTTTTTGCTTGCAACTTCTAAATGTAAGGTAAAGGTGAAGTTAACCCCGTGCTTAATTAATTAAGAACAGTTCCATGGAGGTGTATGGGGGAGTGGAAGTATAGTTCCACCATGAGATCTTTGCACTAGATTTGAGTTTTCAGTTTCATGGGAAAGAGTCCCTGGCATCCAGTGGCTAGGAGGCTGGATGGGTCCTAGGGCTCCTGCAACTTGTACCCATACACAGGACAAATTGTGGACGTGAGACGATGCATTCAGGTGCGGCAGTCCACCTTCATCTCCATCAGGAGGGAGGAAATATTTCTTAATGCCTCAGATTGGACATGCATTGGCATTTGTTACATGACCTGGCACCTGTCTTTACACGGTGTGGTGTGTCCCTTATGATGTTACACATCTTGTGGGAATAACCATGCAGTGATGAATGCCAAATCTTCCATGTTCATGATGTGTTGTGTTACGATCATTGTGGTGTGTAATGTGGTATTCCTTCCTAGTGTATGGGTGGAGAAGCCTGTTTAGCTGAATCAGTTGTATCTTCTGATTGAATTATTTTATCTGTAATTGTTTTAAGAACTCTCAGGTGTGTGTGCAGTCTATATTAGTTATAGTTTTTAACGCAGCATTTTGTGCTTGATTTCTTAATTTTTACAGATTATAAGTCAGACCAATCTGCAGTCCAGCAGATATATTGTAATGGTTATTGTGGTTTGGAACAGTTAGTGTGTCCAGTGTTCGTGCCATTTCTTTTGTACTCTTTTGGCCCGTTGTTCAGTTCTGTATAATGCACATGACCTCTCTTGTCCAGATTTAAAGCTCCTGATGCTATGTTGCTGTCGGCCAGCTTTAAACTTGGTGTTAGTGGGATATATATTGTAAACAATTTGATGCTAGGCCTGCTGGGTAATGCTGACCTAGTGCTTGCACCAACAGAGTCCCTCAGTGTGCAGATGATAAAGGTTAATGGCACTGTCTGAAATATCTTTCACTTCAAAGTACTTTTCAGTTTGGAAATAGGGCATAAAAGTCACTAGTTTTAAATCAAATCAGTATGACAGATGGGAGCCGATAGAATGTTGTGGTTGGTCAAGGATCTCCTTATGGAATTTACTAAGTGATTTGGTTTATTGTCATCATGCAGCAATCAGAAGTCTGTTTCCCTTAACAGGTCATTTTTCTCAAGCTGTATTTCTTATATGTTCCATAACATAGTATAAAATGCTGTTTATCACTGAAAATTTTCTCACAGATGTTTATGATTTCTTTGTCAGTGTGTGAAGGTGGATGGTTTGTGGGTATATTGTCTTCAACAGAAATCCCACCTCTTAAATTAAATAACTGCTGAGTGCTGTACAGGGTTGATTTTCTTTCTGGATGCAGGTTCAAGCATGTCCTGTGTTTCTGTGGCCAATTTTCTTTGTTTTACACAGAACTTACTGTCACGCATTTCATATGGCAGTTTGAATGAAGACTTGCACACAGAAACACGTTTTACTCGCATTGATATAATGTAGCCACTTTCCTCCAACTGGGACGGATTCATTGAAGACTTTCATCTAAGTGTATGGTTTGTTGTCCTTATTGTATGTTATTGACATACAGTAAAATCAGCTGTGGAATTTTATGATCATGCCTCAGAATAGTGTGATGACCAGACAACCTGCCAGATTCAGAGCAGTAACAAAATAATCACTGCAGCTATATATGTGTGAAATGTATGGTATGTACAAATTTTGTATGTAGTACAGTTTATATGTTTAAAATTGTAAAATGGTATTGGAGCAATATTTTGAGGTTGTCTCTCAACAGGAAATAAGTTGTAATGGGTGCTGTGCACAGAAATTTATCACTAACTTTGTATAAATAAAAACAAAGGCCTAATTTCTTTTCAGAGCTTAATGTGGGCTTAGCACCATGAAGTAGTTATGTGTTAATGGACGAGACTGATAAGTATTTGTTTTCCAGATAATTTGTTTGTGTGAATGGGTAAGGGCTGAATAACCATGTTAGCAGATAAGTGTCTTGTAATTGAGATGTGTTATGTAATGACCAAATAACATGTGTGTATAAAACATCCAGAATACAGTGGAAGGTATATTTCATATTTTGGGTTCATATTTGTGTGTGTCAGTGTTCATACCCTTTGTATATTATTATTACTTTTTTCTAGGGAAGAAAATCCCGAAGAGAGAGGAGAGCATTTAGAGAAAAAAGGCTGCAGGGCCGAAAAATTAGTCCACCCAGGTAGTACTGAATATTTTGTAATTCTTTATTAAAACAATTTTCAGAAGATAATAATGTGAGAAAGTTAATACTGTGACCACTGAAATAACTTGAATTTGTTCCATTTGCTGAATTTTCTGTACACTTCATTGCTTTTCACATGTTTATCATCTTCATTCTTTTCATGAGTATTTTAAATAATGATTCTTGTTTATCATTATTATTTATCTACCTTTTTCACAGATGGGAATAATTGACTAAAATAGTGCGATATTTTCTAGAATATGTTATTACATATTTAATGTAATGCATACATAACTTGCAGTTCATACGTGTGATTATTTTGGTGGTTTATTATAATGTGCAATATGAAAATGGAAACCAATGAATATGTGGCAGTTAGGTCCATATTTAGTTGATGCCTTTGATGCATTCTGTTCTACATGCCCTGTCACCTGGAATCACAAGTGAGTGAAACAGAGTAATTGTAGGATTTGGGGTTCTCACAGCGGTAATTATCTTCTGTCATATAATGCTGTATAGTCTGTTGAAAGTCAGTCAGCATTTTTGATGATCATGTCACCTCTATTTTTAAGTTCAGGGTTACACCAAGTAAGAAACCGGTATGAAGGAAGCAGAGCTCTTTGTGCTTCCTGCTTCATGCAGGTTTCTTGCTTGGCTTATTCTTCTATCCTGAAGGTGGAGGTGATGTGTTCATCTGTAATGTCGGTTCACTCTTTTAACGTGCTGTATGGCATTATATCCGAGAAGAGAACTGGTCAATGGACAGAGTGAGAGCCATGTCAAAAAGTAGCGTGGTTACCTTTGATAAGCAGATATATTATTTATTTATTTAATTGTCTATAATATACAAAGTATAACTGAAACTCGTTGTGTTTAACAGTAAACAAGAATGACGTACAGTCAACTCTCGATTATCCGGGGGCGGATNATTCAGGGGTGTCCAAAACGTATGAATTCTCGCAGAGAAGGAAAAAAATTGGCAAATTTCTTTTTGGAGTCAGTGCAAAAATTTTAACATGTTTTATACAATCTGTAAATTACAATATCTGATTCTATATTCTTTCGAGAAAAAAACAGCGTTTATTTCGTTCGATTATCACAGAAATAGCAGAAATAGGAGCAAAATTAGTAAGTAACTTACAGCTTTTACGGATTTCTAAGAGCGGCCCTTTAAATAATTCCGTACCACTGCCACAGCCTAAGTTTAAAGGGCCGTAGGATAAAGGTTAAGTATTCAACAGAAAAAGGAAAATGCCGCGAAAAGGTAAACGACAGTATTAAATTTTTTTAAGTGTTAAGTGTGAATATGCGTAAAAAGTGTTGGATGTTGTTGAAGACTGTGATTGAAATAACTAATTCATACTTCAGTGTAATGTAAAAAAAGTATTAAATAGGCCATGAGATGACATAAAAATGAGGTTGAATAAATTTAAATACAGGTAGGCCTGTAGTATTATGAAGGTACAGTATTACAGTACTACTTTTAATAAAATTTGTCTTAACCGGGTTTTCGATTAATCGTGATTTCCATTCCCACCATTATCCTGGATAATCGAGAGTTGACTATATTTTCTTATTTATTTGTCTTTTTGATAGTAGCTGAAAAGCATTTGTGCAATTGTTATTGCTTTTGAAATGCTACTATTGTGTCTGATCTGTCATTCGTATTCAAGCTATTTGCTGCTTCTCTCAAATATTGTGTGACAGTGTAGAAGACTATGTGTCAGTAATGCTTTGAATACAGTGATAAAACAGCTTTGAGAAAAATTCGGCAAATTATGGACAGAAGCCTAAATAACTTAAAGAACCAAGTAAACACTACAGATTATTTGTGAAAATGAAAGTCGAAGCGCAACATACTACATAATGTTAGGTCCTAGAATATAGAAATGTACATAACCACCACTGTGAGAACCTCAGAGCCTGCAAAATAAGGGTAATTTGTACAATAAGTGTTGAAAACCTATTAATTAGCTTGTGACATGCTGTAAGAACACAAAACAAAGCATCGTGGATTTTCCACGTTTTTCTGATTGTGCATTTTCTTCCCATCATTAGCTTATATAATCAGGTGTGCACGGTGCCATATTTGCTGGACTGATAAATTCAGTATTAGTATCATTTTCTAAGATGAAAAGCATATTGTATTCTCCTGTAATATCTTAGTCTTCCTTATACTCTTGACCCTGCTTTGTTCTTCTCAGCCACCTTTCGTCAACCATTCTGTCTACAAGGTTTTTTTTGTCTCTTTGTAAGTTATGGAATAATGACTTTCTATAGCTGCAGTACATGAAAATTAAGCCTCATGAGGTATGCAGGATGGTGAACACATTTGAAAACGTAATCACCTTTCCATTAATGTTGCACATGATTTACCTTGTTCATATTTGCACTGCCTGTTGGCCAAAAGCTAGCCTGGTATTGCCTTTCTTTCTATTGTGAATCCCTGCACAGAATATTGTAAACTACTTATCTTAATTTAACAAGTATGCAGTCATATAACAAATGCAGTGCTAAATCATGTAATTAAATCCGTATTTCTAGAGAAGTGAAATGTATAGATGGAAATTAGCACATGATAACAGAAGATAAATCTAATAATATAAAGTTCATATGTGGAATGTTAAAGTGGGAGATCAGGAAGCGAGTGATGCCATGACAGCTGTTATTTTGCTTCAGTTCCGTTCATAATGATTAATTTCATAACTCATTTTAACCAGTGTTGAATCTCTTACATGGGCAAAGAAAGAAAAGCAGTGAATCATCTTACTTGCAGATTTGGCTAGCTTTTCTGTATGTCATCTTTTTAACTTAGAAAATACAATAAATTCATTTCACTTTCAGTTAGTTAAATATGGCTCTTTTTGTGCATAGTGTTAATTTGAAAATCATTTGCTGTTTTATAATAGAAGAGCTTGTACCAGAGTGGTATTTTGCATGTATTTTTGCTTTTCAAAATAATGGAGTAATGTTTCAGAACATATATGATTGTACATTTCATCAGTATATTTTGCTAGTCCATGATTTATTTCACCGTCTTCTAGTGCATACACTCTCTCTCTCGCACTACATGTTTCGGCACAAAAGTGCCATCTTCAGGTGCTTCAGGTGTAGTGTGAGAGAGAGGAGTGAGGTAGATAAGTGTATGCACTAGAAGACGGTGAAATAAATCGTGGACTTAAATCAGTGCAACAGGACGCTAAAATATAACATGTTTTGCTAGTGTATATTTCAAACCATCTAAATTGTGTGAATATATTTTCAGCTATGCTGCCCGTACAAGTCCAACATATGATCCATATCGCAAATCACAGTCCAAGTCTCGATCACGTTCACGATCACACTCTCCAGTGAACTCTGGACAGATCACATACATCACAAGCTTCGGAGGCGAGGAGGAATCAACTGACGAGGGGGGACGTCTGCCTTCATCCAAGTTCCTTTCTTCGTCATCATCACATTCTGCCAACGTTGTTGTTGCCCCACAGACAAAAGCAAGCCGGTCGGTATATACGCTGCACCACGATAATCAGTGGCCAAGCCTCATTCCTGCTAGTTCCATACATTTTTAGTGTGGAGCGAGTGGATGGAGAATTCATATGTTTCGTAAGGAAACTGCTGCAGCCATTTTTGAATTATGGGCATAACCATTTCAAAGGTTTAGTTGTGATCTATTCAACAACAGTCTCATAAAAAGAGTATTAATGCTAAAAATAAATGAATGAAGAAAATGGTAGATGTGTTGTCGAATCGTGGCATTGATTCCGATTGTGCCTGTTTCTGCCATTATCAGTGGTAAGAGGTAAAACTGTGCTCGAAGTCAAGACTTGTTTTTGTGTCCTGCATGTTCATTGCATACAAGTTACTTGTATTTTGGATGGTATTGGTAGTGAAAGTAAGGTGGAAAGATGTTTGAATAAGATAAGATGCCAACAGAGGTTCAGGGTAGTGTAAAAGCCTGCTAATTTTAATTTAAATTGTGGGTAATTTTCAAGGTTTGTGAATTCTCAGCATTAGACTCTTCTTGAAACAAGAAGCAGTGGAATCCATGTTAGAGTGGTTTGTTACCCATACAGTAGACTCTCAGATTATCCATGTGTACACTATACACTGTGGATTAACTGCACTGCTTCAGAATCTTCCATAATGATTTAAGTGTTGCCCACTGGGTCTTTTTCAACAGTATCAGTGATGCTTTATGAAGATTTGGAGTAGACTGTTGATATTCTCAGACTATTGCAGCTTTTTGTTATATTATTTCGTTGTTTTTCACATGTCCAAGTACTGCCTGTAAGCAAACGTTGCTTTCTTATGTTGAAAAGATGTCTGTATTACTGATAGTGACCAGTAGCACTTCCAGTAAGTAAAAATAAGTGAATTGTTTCATTTTTTTTAATTGTTTGTGAAAAATAAGTGATTTTCATAGTTGAATTTAACATCAATACTGGATATTCGCATATTGTTGGATTATCCATTAATTTTTCATTGCAAAACTTCCCCCCCTCCCAATACTGTAGCTAGTCAAGAGTTCACCGCAAAGCCAGCTATCTGGCAAGGTCATGCTGTAGTCATCCCCTAAAAGCATAGATCAAAGGATATTTCTTCACTAGAAGTGAGAGAGCAACACAGTTGCAATGCATTGTACAGTGCTGAACTGTTGAATGTTGATAGATTCTTTTAAGATGATTCTCTGTTAAGGTCATTTTTGAGAGTAGAAAGTGGTGTGGCTGCTGTGTGAAGTAAATTTTCTCAGAATTTCCTGAACATCTGTTGGTAAAACCTCAAAAACAGTATGTACACCATTGTGTATAATGTACACTGCACAGCCTACACTATTATTTCTGTTTTAACTTTCTGTGAAGATTAGCAAAAACAGTATTTTTACTTTCCCTTTTTAATCTAGCAAATTTTGTGCTGGTTTTATGTGTTGAAATGACTTTTATTTTATCAGCAGCCTCTAAATTGTGATGAACAAGTAGTCCAGAGTTTTCTCTGGGGAGACTGGAAAATTCTAATATTTCTGTTGCAGCACTTTTATTGCATATGAAATGCCTCACAGTAATAGGTAGAACATATAAATCAATATCATTAGAAAATGTAAATGACTGACTTGAAGTTTTTGTGGACATGGCCACCTTACATGTTTTTATCCTGCCATGGTCGCCTATATCTGCCTTCCTCCCATGACTGACTCTGAGCGCTGCACATCACAAGGGACGTTTCACTTTTGAGCAGTCGCCACCAGCACCTCTTTCTCTTATGAACAGGAATTGCCCATTATACTGTCATTAAAAACATCTTTTCTCTTAGTCATTTTGTAACTGACATTAATTTTTAACTACCTTAATAAATTTTAATTAAAGAAGAACATTCAAAAACTTCAACATGTACACAGAAATTTGGACAGTGCAAACTGAACAGTGATAACTCGTCACTCCACACTTAGCCAACCAGTCTGCCCCACACATGTCTTGGGCCCATTGTTCCCAGGTCAAACGGGATTCCCACCCTGGGAAGGTCAAAATGTTTGTATGCATTGTCAGATATGTCATGTTTTTATGACGTGGGAAAACTCAGGGACACGATTCACTAACTGAATTTGTGGGACACCCGTAAAACCAGGAATCCCAGCACATAGTGTTAAAACCCAGAGGTATGTACTCTTCATGTCTTTTGTTCTTTGCAGACAGCGATATCTGGCTGCATTTGGGGGGGGGGGGTATTGTTGAACTGGCCGCATGCTTCAACATGAAAAGTACTTTCTCCTGTGAAATACGGCTGCAGTAATTGCTCTGTTGTAAAAACTTTGATGAACATTGTAGATGTCACTTTTCAACTTTTTAGCAGGTTTTAAAAAATGGCTCATCTAAACAAAATGAATATATTATTATTTATGACATTTATTTGAAACAATTTTTAATCTGTTATATATTTAACAAATTAAAATGAAGAAAAATGATTCCTTTATGCAGTTTCCATTATCTCCGTTAACAATAGAATTTATGACTGCAGTGTGTGTGTGTGCACGTGCATGCTTAAATATTTTGTATGTTTTGAAACTATCCTCCAGTGCTCCTGTTATTGGCATATTTGCTTTAAGCAAATGTAAAAACAAGTGAAGGATGTAAAATAATGACCATCTCAGCGCTCTCTATAATTGTGGTTGCAGTTACTTAGTTTCAAAGGAGAGCACTTTTTATTACATACCAGCCAGTACACATGAAAGTAGATAATTTTGGTTAAACAAATTCACTTGAAAAGTAATACTGTTAACTCTTTCTGACCTTTATACCTGACATTTAATTTGGGTGTTAAATAGTTTGGATGAGTCAAGAATTCAGGGGTTCTTACCTCAGCATAAGGTGTTGGTGCCCATTCATTCTTTTCTGGCTAATGAATCTGATCTTGTATCATAACTTAGAATACAGGATGTTACATTTCACATTGACTGCTGAGTAGTTAAGTGTTTCTTGAAGTATGAGTTCACTACATTTGACCGAAAGCTTGGGTCATGTTATAGGTGATGCTACTTAAATGTTCAAGACCCTAGCTTGTTAATGCATGCACTATGACAGTTATTCCATCAGCATTCCACTATTCTTTTGTTAAACTGTGTTGCAGCAGACACATTTAGGTTTGGCAGAACCGTCCTTGTTAGTGTCATAAGATGTACTCGAAATATCCATTATGCATGTGTGCAGCATATCGAAAGAAAGTTTATGTGCTGTGGCAGTAATTGTCATAATGTATATAATAAGCATATTAAGTAAGCAGCCTGGAAATATTTCCATTTAACCTGGTTTTATAACACTTTCGTCTGACTTCTTGCAGTCTGTGGTGTTAAAGCTCAGTTCTTAACAAAGGATGGAGTAAGTGGGTTTCCACGCAATGTAGTAAGAAAGGAAATGATTACCTTAAGAGCAGTATTAAAGGTTGCATGTTTATGTGGATCTTCCACGTAACTACTGTGAATATGCAGTTCCATTTCAAACTTTTTTTATGTCTTGTTACAATTGTACATGAGATTATTCAGAAGGTGAAGTGTCTGCAACTTACTGAACTGAAGTATTCTTTCTTCTGTGATTTTTTAACAGGTCTAGGTCTCCAAGAAGCAGATCTTCTGGTAGGAGCAGGTCGAGTAGAGGCTGGGATAACTCCATCTCATCCCCTCACAGGGGACGTGGAAGCAGCAAGAGCAGCTCACAGCGATGGTCACCAGATAACCCCTCTCGCAGGTGTGCAGGCATGCTAGACGTTACTGTTATTGATATGATTCCACATATACTGGATAATAATTTGATTTGAAGTCCTGTCACATGTCATAATTTGTAACTTTATATTTCTGACGAATGCTGCATATCTCACCCATCTCAGTGACCATAGTTAACTGGAGGAAAATCACTTTTTATGCTTATGGGTGTTATGTTTCTAATTGATAAATTGTTTTTCTGCCTTCAAGAATGAAATAGTGATTTTGTATTAGGTCAAGAGCAGGAGACCATGGATCTAGCAGTCGGAAAGCTAGAAGCAAATCTCCACACCATACAGGAAACAGATCTGGTTCTCATACAAGGTGAGGGCATAATAAGATTAGGTTTGTGTACTGGATCTGTGGCCTTGAAGTTCATGCATCTTCCTATCTCCACTGGGGTGAGTTGATGGTAGATCCCAACATTTTGGTATAGATACTGTTCATAAGTCAGTCAGTTTATAGAAAGAGGTGATGCCAGTTTTGAATTGAGCTGGAAAAAGCTGCTATTTTAATGGATCTCCGCAATATTCTTCTGCTGTGATTAAATTATGTTTATTGTGATTCAATATGTAGCACATTTTATCTTTCTTATGCCAGTGAGGTGTTTTCACCTTGAAGTTTCTGATCAGTTTAATCTCATTTCTGGCACATTTGCACTGAAAAGTTACATAAACTGTACCTGTTAGCTTCAGAATATCTGTCCAGATGTAAAATTCGAGAACTGCTAAACTGATTTTCATGAAATTTTATGTTGGAGAGTTTTAGTAGAGTTTATTAACACATTCCAGGTTTGGTTAAAGCATGTTTAAAACACATTTCTGTAATTCTTAACAATATTAAAGATAATTAAAGAAAGGGAGTGAATGTGCCAGACTTGTTTCAGTATGTGTATAATAAAAATCAAAAGTGTGTAAAAATTTTTAATCTAGATGAGTGAATGAATGAATGAATGAATGAATGTGGCAGTTTTCTTTTTGAGAATTGATCTTTACCCTTAGTAGCAGTAGCACATATTAGGACAGTGTGAGAAGAAAGCAGTAGATGTAACGTTCTTTTCTAAAAGCAGTGGAAGCAGCAGAACTGCAGGGAAGTGCTGTAAAGTCATTGTGCAGCAGGATAAGTATGATTGCTTTTTCTCTAGGCTGCACAGTTGGCATCAAACGTTCCTCCCCTTCTTATGGCCCAAAAACTATTTAAGAGGCTTCACTTATATCAGTGAGGGAAATTGGGTTGAACTCATAATATTGCTGCATTGCATATGTGCATGCCATGGATATTGTCACGTATTTAGTGACTATAGATGGGGTTTGTATTGGTAATTGGATTTATTGAACTCTTAGAGACTGCAAGTAATTATAACCATTTCACTCATTCATATACTTTATGGTCCACCAGAGCACACACTTAAGTCTTCTCAGCTTGCTGTGTCTTCACCAGTCTTATATTGACAGCTTCCATAGGTGGATGTTCCCCTTCCTCTGGGTTCCCAAACAGTCCCCGTACCTCAGCTACCAGCTTCTCACAGCAACAACTCACAACGACCGAACCACAGTGGTCCTCTAACTAAGTGACTAACTAATGGGCCCTGCTTATAACATCTCAGCATGGGTGTTGTAGAAAACATCATTCTGCTGTTGCAGTGCACTTGTTGCTTAGTGGTGACATGACCTAGTCCATTGTATATGCAGCCATCTGCATGGACCATGCAGAAAACACCATTCCTCTGTTGATGTTATGGGCCACTGTCTAGTAACAGCCGGCTGTTGTAACTCTACAATTCTTGCTTTGACTGGTGATGTTACAGTATGTTCAGCTCTTGTTTCTAGTAAAGGAATGGCAAGGGAACTTACCTGCAGTTGGCTGTGGCATATTATACAATGAAAGACATCTAGAAATCTACTGTATAAACAAATTGATAGCAGCTCGATTGTACACAGGTTATATTGAAGCAGTGTATTCTGTAAGGTTGCAAGAGGGTGATTCAGCTGGTTTTTATGAATCCTTTCCACCTATATTACAGTTTACAGAGTTTTATTGATTTCGTGTGTGTTAATTTACATGTACTTAATTTCAGGATGTTAGAAAATTGAACAGTTATGGGTTCGTGTGTGGTTTATTTACCACTGTCAAAACATGCAGTTTGGCTGTTTTGTAATAATTTTTTGCACACACAATGTCAAAAATTTGCATGTATTCCAATCATGTTAAGAACAACACATGACAAGTGTTAATGAGACTGTTTTGATGCAAGTGAACACATTTTTACATTACATATATGCACATACTTGGGAGTGGAATGTGGTTTGTGACTTAACAAGTGTGGATGAGATCTCTGTTCATACGTGGAACACAATTATTGGTCAGTTGTGGATAGAAGGGGTTGTGTAACTGTAAGAAAAGATTTAATTCTGTGGTTCAGGTAATGCTGATGGTGATGAGATGGTTGAATTTTCCTGTTATTTTCGTATCTCAGTAATAACCACTCTGAAGAAGAGAAAATATTGCCACATTGGCACTGTTATTCAGCCATTAGTGCCACATTGTGTTATGCATCATTGCACGTTAGAGAAGACTTGTGCTTCTGTATTTAAAGCATTTATTGATACTATAAAAGATCATCAACGCCGTCCAGTGTGATTGATATTTTTTTTTTATATAATTCATCCTTGTTCCAAATGCAGTGGCCATCTTCAGAAGGACATGCGGAAACCACTATTACTATGTCACTGGTCACTGCCATTACACACAGACACCAGTACAATGTTATGAATATAAAATATTAGCTTTTAACAATTACAAATTGGTTCTAGATTTTAACAGGTTCTTTAAACTATACTGCAGATAGACTAGATGTAATGATTTATAAATCTATATAAATAAAAATGTAAATGTTGGTTTGTTACCCCTCGAAGGTCTCCGAAAGTTCTTCACTGATTCAAAATTTTGACACAACGTTGCATTTGAACACGCACGTGTTTTTATATACCTATTATATACATGGCACACCTGTGACAGGTTGGTTGGTTGTTAAAGTATTAATTGTACTCAATATTAATATACTGTAACGTGTTATACGTCGTCCATCGGATACTAACAGATCGTTGCCTAGGAATAACCGTGGCAAGGAACTGTTGAAACAGCGGAAATAATGCATTTCTGCGGCAACGAGCACAGAACACGTGAAATCGAACCCTGGGCGAAAGTGCCCTCTATTGCGTCCAAAACTGGGTTATAATAGTCCGGCTCCAAAGAGTTTTTCGGTGATACTGGATGGGATAATAATTCTACTCACTGGTGTAAAAGTGGGCGTTCAGTAACTTATTCGCTGAATCCGAGACGTGTGTGGAAGCTATTTGTTGCACTGAATAGGAGACACATGACCACAACGACGTTACATAGGTAACACGCGACATATTCTTATTATCAAAGTACACGTAAATAATGCAACAATTTAAAAGACATCAAGAATATGTCACTCAGTAAAATTGTATTTTAATACTTTACGATGTTAAAATCATTAAAAATGTCGATCTATCTTCTATCTATTTATATAAATAAAAACGTAAATGTTGGTTTGTTACCCTTCAAAGATCTCTGAAAGTTCTTCACTGATTGCATAGGATAAGAGGTTCCGTTGCATAACAACGGATGAACCCGGAAAGTATACTTCCATGGAAACGCAATAACAGTGGGCCGTTGCATAGGAATTGCCAAAACAACAAATGCGTTTCCCCGGAGATGAGAGGATAAGAGGTTCCGTTGCGTAACAACGGATGAAACCAAAAACTTCTACAAGGTGTTCTGTGCTAGCATTTCCTAAGCAACAGATGAAACTGACTCTTCGATAAGGTATTCCCTATTCCGTCCGAATTAGTTGTGATACTGCAAGTGGCATTCTTGCAAAGTGTATAAGTGTAAAAGCGAAGAACAATAAATACTCGCGTGACGTTCCCAAACACGTTACATCTGTATAAACATAAATTGGAATTGGGCTGTGTCGTTTACCATAGCGTTCATTTCGTGAGTATAGTTTATTTTTCATTGTTTTTCGTTTTGTTTTCGTGTTCTCCTTATTTTTCAGTGCAATTGGCTGTGGGATTGAGCTGTGTCGGTCTGCGTTTGAATCGAAATATTTCGTTAGACTGAGCCACAGCAACGCGTGGCTGGGTACAGCTAGTGTTTTAATAAATTCATGCACATTGCTATAATTGTTATAAGCTAACATTTTCATATTCATTACATTGTAATGGTGATGGCTGTGTGTATTGGTAGTGACCAGTGACATTGTAATAGTGGTTTCAGCATGTATTGATATGTCCTTCTGAAGATGGTTGCTCCAGTCAAAACATGTAAAGGATGAAATATTTTAAAAAAGTTTATCAATCTCACTGGATGGCATTGATTATCTTTTTTATACTATTGTTAGTGTGATGGACCAGGATGAACAAAGTTACATTTATAGGTATAGCAGATGTCCATTAGAATCAGTGTATTTTTTATTCTCAAATTTTATGAACTATTGTATTGTTGAGGTTGCATTGTATCTGAAATTGAAATCAACAAATTTATAATTCAAAGTAGTTACTATATTAATGGAGCTGTGATTTCTTTAAAATTAAATATGTCACAGAGTTGATGTTTTAAATAAATAGTGGGACATAAAGTAGTACATTAAGAAAGTAGCCATTATGTCTGCATTTAGTCCATGAAAAATAATGTAGTTGTAAGTTGAAGGCTGTTACATAAATACTGTTTATTAGAAGTATACAGGCACCATGATGTTTAGTATGCTGCTTTTACAGTTTTAAAACATATCATTATTGTTCACCTTGTTTAAATCAGACCAAGACGTCGAAGGAGCAATAGCAGCAAGTCGTCCTCGCGGTCAAGATCTCCAATAACAAGATTAAGAGCAAGAAGCCGATCCAAGACTCCCCATAATCAGCCACCCCCACCTCCTATCCGCAGGTACAGACTTTATTTGGTAACCTGTAACTGTTATACAAGGTGTCAGAATACTTTCCATACTGATAATTCAGTGGCATATCTGATTGCTTGCCTCCTTCCAGTGTTGTTGAAATGTGGTTGATGGTAGATAGAGCTAGTCTGGAGATAGGGGCTAGCTCTGCCGGTTGTGTCCAACTAAGTAGGCTTCTGCCTGAAGATGGAGATAGAATCCAGTCTCATATTTTAAGTAAAAAAGCATGATGTATAATGTCAAACAACTCATTAATTGTATTGTCACAAACTTGTACATCTTAGTTTTTATGGATATCTACGAGGGTAAGTCAGAAATTATCCGCACTTTCTCCATAACACATCTTTAGGTTTGTCACACTGCCTCCTACACATGCATTGTTAGAGTTGGTACTACTGTGGTGACGTGATTGAAGTTTTACCTTGATCGCATCATTTTCATTGATGCTGTGACAGTGTAAACATGGCCACTCTGCTAGCAGTGTGCACCACTGATAAACAAAGTATAGTGATGGCATTTTTATGCCGAAACATGTAGTGAGAGTGAGAGAAGAAGATAGATAAGTGTACGCACTGCAAGACGGATTAAACAAATCATGAACTTAAATCAGTGCAACAGGACGCTAAAATATAACAAAGTATAGTGATACGATTTCTCTGATTGGAAGGTGTGTCAGGGGCTGAAATTCATATGTGGGTTCATCACTATGAGCCAGAATCCAAAAGCCAGAGTATGGCGTGGAAACACCCGGGATCGCAAACGAAGATGAAATTCATTACACAATCTTTCATGGGAAAGGTGATGCTAACCGTTTTTTGCGACTCAAAAAGGCCTATACTGGAAGACTACCTGGAAAAAGGGTGTACGATCAACAGTGATTTGCTGGCCAACAATCTGAAGCCACGAATTCGCACCAAATGCCAAGGCCTATTGTCGAAGAAAGTGTTGTTGTTGCATGACAGTGAACACTCACACAAGGACAGCCAGACCGTTGAAACCATTAACCATGTGTGTTTTGAGGTGCTGGAACACCCTGCCTACAGCCCAGATCTCGCCCTTTCCGACTATCATCATTTTGGACCGTTCAGAGATGTTTTACGAGGTTTTTGATTTTCTGCGGACAAAGAAGTGGGGGAAGCGGTGCATAAATGGTTGCACGACCAACCAAAAACCTTCTTTGTGGATGGAATACGCAAGGTTTTGGACAACTGGACCAAGTGCATCGAAAAGGGAGGAAAGTATGTAGAAAAATGAAGTACTTGTTCAACACCTACTTTTGTATATATGGATTGGAAAAACAAGAGTGCGGATAATTTTTGACTTACCTACGTATATATGTCAACTTGTATTAATTTGCAGTTTGAATGTTTTTAGCTTGATTATGTATAATCACTGGAAGGTGGTAAATCTTCGAAAAAAAATTGAAGTTAGCCCTACTGTTGGACTTTGACCAGTTTATTTAGAATCTTTTCTATCATATTTATGTATACACATACAAGTTGGTCTTTTTATTCCAAATTTCCTGTTCCAGAACAAGGAGTGAAATCTCTTTGCGGGGTATGTTGCCTTCTTTTGTGACATACTGTAAATACTTCAAGTGTGCCCCTATTTCAGCACACTTTCTCCATAAATGTCCTAAAGAGAAATGTACGATTTGAGAGATTTTGTCCAAAAGACTTCAACAAATATGCATAGAAGCATTATAATCAACTCTTTCCAAGACAGGTTTCTCCTTATAACAAAATATGTGAGACCAAATCAGATGAGTACTTGCATTTAATACAGATTACCATATTGTCACTTGTAGGGTGGTACGCATGAGAAAACGATGGGTTCACAAAAGAAGGCAGCATACCCCACAAAGAGGTTCACAAAGACCTAGGAAATCACTTCCTGCAGTTATGTCCTAAAGTCATGAAACACCCTATATATGATATATAATTGTCATGATAATATAAATTTTAATTTATCTCTACTAATATCACAGAAGTGGTTTTGTTTGCCTAAAGGTACTCTTGTGACTGGTGTCTAAGGGCAATTTTTTATGTTTTGCAAGTTTCAGTTGCAAAATTGAAGTATTGAAGGAGGAGAGCACAGCATTCAGGTAACATCCCAGGTTTTCCTGAATGTGGTCATGGTTTTTTAATAGCTCTTGTCTTGGGAGGAGTTTGTGCACTCTTTAAAGCTGCTGGATGAAGACTATGCAGTGCAGGGAAACATTTGGCAGTGAAGACAGTTCACTGGAAGGTTTCTTTATTCAGTCTTCATTAGAATTTACTGTACTTTTGGATGTAAGATGTTCTGTCTCTATTCAGATATTATGGGAGCAGAAAGGGGGACTCGTCTTCCTCTGAATTAGGAGAGAGTGATTCTGATAGTGCCAAGCAGTCTTCATCACCACTCCCACGCAACTCTAAGCCTCCACCACACAAGTAAGCTACTTAAGATCTTCTGATCACACTTTATATCAGTTTGCTTGTACAACTGCCCATTTTGAATAACTATATGTAATTTGTTTTTGTTTGTGTTCTAGGAATATGAGTACAGGGTTTGGTAATTCTGGTGCTGGAACCAAAGTCAGTAAGAATCACTACTCAGTCATTATAAGTCTCTTATGTTTAAGTTTACTTTAGAACACTAATAGTAGTTCAGCTCAGTGCAAAATGAGAAGGGGCAACAGGATCAGTTTTAGTACTTAATTTTGAAGTGAAATTTCATTGTCAGGTTTCTAGCTTTTCAGAACTGTGTACCCTAATGCTTGTTTAATATCTAGGTTACAGGAGAACCCTCAGTTAACTTCTCTTGTTTTGAGGTTTTACCATAGTCTAGTGATCCCAAGTCAGTAATTTCAGTGTTGACTGACTTCACTCTTATGATTTTTCTCAGTTGATTGTTAGAAACCTGGAATGGGAATGTTACTGTCTTTGAGAGAAATGAATCAACTTATGCTTTGTAACTGTTTGTTGGAAACCTGGAATGGGGGTGTTACTGTCTTTGAGAGAAATGAATCAACTTATGCTTTGTAACTGGCTGTGCGTGCAAACAGTTACTATGCTTCATCTCTTGATACTGCCCCAAACACTTCTCTATTGAATTACTCTGATCTAGTCATCTCAGTTCAATCATGTCAGGTTCCTTCTTTTCACTTCGTATACAAGTCATGCATAGAAAACATAGAGTATAGATGGTCAGACATGTAGATGGAAACATTTTGGAAGTAGTAAACCATATAAATACACTTAAGATTTTGCGCATTTTCTGGAAACCTGAAGGTAACATTGCAACCATGCCTAAGCACCAAGCCATAAATGTCTGTATCGAGTGCAGAGATAAAACTCCACCAATTCTGGGCTGTTACCTTGGGTGGAGGCGGTGTTCAGCTTCATGATCATTCTGTGAAGTGGAAATATAATCTTTGTTAAAAGACTGTGCTGTAGATACAGAGGAAACTGTGTAGTAATATCCTGCCATATGACCATTACCTCTACTGATTCTTTGTTTGCTTCCTGAGAAAGTGTTCGTGTTTAACTTTACAGTTATCTATTCCAGGTAAGAACCATTAATGACGATATTGCTAACATGTTGGAAATTCTTCCAGTGGTGAATGTTTCTGTGGTTGCTCCTTAACTAGGAGTAGTCTTTTTTTCCCTCTTGCCATGCAATTCTTTTGCTCTAAACTATCAACAGTTCCATGATCTTTAAATGTTACTTTTCATAATCTGTCCATTTACAGGTCTAGAGGGTGTATTTACTAGCAGAACCTGTAAGGTAGAAACATCAGAGCTGTTGGTGTTATAGAAAAGTCTTCATCCGGCTTTATTTCTGTTTACACACAGTATTTCAGAATTTGTTTGGAATTGTTAGTGGAGGTCCTTTGAGTCATATCCATTGGTGGTGGACTGTTTGAATGAACTCTTTATTAAATTCCAGCTATATAATTACATGTACCCAGCATAGCAGACACTTTTCTAGAAGATCTTAAAGGTTATTAATTAAATATCAGTGCATTTTGTGTTTCATACACTTCATTTCATTTCATTCATTCATGTTTATAACTCAGTAAATGGATTAATGTGTCCATTTATTGTATACTTTGGTCATATGCCCTTGGTTTGATTGGTTTTCAGGGCATTGTGTTGTTGCTTCAGCAGAATTGAAAATAATAGTTGTCCATTTCCTGGCATATTTTTCTCATTTGGATAGATTGGTGAGACAGGATGGTGAATCTGACCATGTATTCAGAAAAATGTGGACAGTTTCCATGTGGCAGTTTAATTATCGTGCCTGTAGATGCAAATACAATTGCTTAGTTGTGCTCTTGTTTATGTTTCCTGTAGTTATTTGCTTCACGTGTATCCCCTATAAGCAGCTCTTATAGAGCTGTTGGGTGACACCCATTCCCATGATCTTGTTCCTACCAGTGAGGAGTGGACACAATCTTGAGTGTTTTATGTGTGTGTATATATTTTATTTCCTCATGTTGATCTTGAGATTGTGATAGATTTACATGTTTACAGCACTCCGAAATAAAGACATATGGTTTTTGGAATACCATATTTTGTTTGTAGTGCACCTCAATAGCAGCTGAACAGTTAGATGGATTTTCCTCATTTAGTACAGTGAAACCTCCTTAATTTGATATTGGTTAATTCAAAACAATAATTCAAAGTAAATGAAATTCCCCAGGCTAAAGTATATGATTTTTTATGTTTTTTGAACTTGTTAGTATGGAATAAAATCTGAATTATTCAAAATTATTTTAGTGTAAGCCCAGAAATTTTACCAAAAAAAGTACTTGGTTTCTTCATGAAATTCTTCAAACAGACAGAATGTAGGTGGCCTTGAGTGCACTACCAGCTTAATTAGCAAGTCTTTTTATGTGAGTCACAACCATTTACAACTGCCTGAGGAGAACATTACTCCTGTTCAGTACAGGATGGAAAGAATGACCATTGCATTAGGGGTGTGTAAATACTAGGTATGTTCAGTTGAATCTTTCACATAATAGTATTATTTATTTTTTAGTCCAGCCACTAGTGTGAAACATGAGTTAAAAAAAAAGATAAAATACTTGGGAAAGAGAATTTGCTGAAATGCTAAAAGTGATTAGGCTAGTTGATAAGAATGTAAGATGTACAAGTGAAATAGTGCAAGTGTATGGAATGCTACTGGTCACCCTATCGACGCATCTAAGAAATCTGGATTCAGCTGAACAACAAGCTGTACATGAGAGTGATGTTTCAAAACAGCTAAGGATATGAGGGTCTTAAAATAATTTGCCTATAACAGCATATGTGATGGCAGCAGTTTTGTAAAATTGTATCAGTGTGTGTTACAGCCTAGAAAAATTATAATAAGGTAGTTATAAGATTGACACAAAGTTGAAAAATTTATGTTGCATTTGAGGTTCTCGTGCCAGTGACCCTGAAGAGTATGATTTTCTGGGTGTAATGGCATGTAGCTGGGGAAAGCTCAACCTTTCAGAGAAGCTTGTTGCCCTCATGTCCAGTGTTGAAAAGTAATTCAAGCAAGAGAACATAGCTCTGCCTGCAGAACTTGCTGCCCACTTATTGTTGGTATGTTGCTTGGATTACTCTTATAGCTGAAGACAGAGGTGATGTATTTCTCCAAAATATTTGTTTCTATCTGAACTATGCAGCGCTTTGACTTAGAGAACTGTACTGTACATGGTCACTGCTGTGTCAGCCTCATGTACAAGTACGTTGACAGCTATAAAATAAGAGGACTGATTTTTTTTCTTTGGTGACTCCCTGTGGCCTTGGCAACAGTGAGCGGGATGGCATATTATCCTTTCCTCTTCTCTCCATCAACCCTATGACTTCCAAGGCCACACAGCCAACAGTGTGGTAGCAGCATTAGTTTGAAGTGGACTATGTATCTGGGCTCTGTCGGAATTATGATAAGTGCTAAAGTAGAGCAACATGTCAGTGTAAAACGCCTTGCAACACTTGGAAAATCTGCTTCAGAAACACAGTTTGTTGATGGAAGTTTATGGTAATGAATGTCTAAAAGTTTTTGAGTGGTTCAGAAGATTTGAAGAGGGAAGGGGAGAGATTGAAGACGAACCAAGTCTGTGAAATTGTTCAAAAAGATCATTGCCTGAGCATTTGAGCAGTTGCTGAATTAGCTAACGTTGATAAAGAAAGTGTTTGACAGATTTTACATGAACATTTTAACATGAAAAAGTTTGTTTGAAGATGGTGCTGAGAATCCTCACTCCTGAGCAAAAGGAAACTTGAATGAATAAATGTTCTGACATCCTTCAAAACACTGAAAATGATCCAGAATTTTTTTTAATGTAGTAACTTGTGATGAATCGTGTTTTTTTTTTTTTTGTGTGTGTGTTTTTTTCCCCAGTATGACCCAGAAATTAAGCACCATTCCATGCATTGGAGGGGTCCCAGGTCACCAAGAGAAAAAAAAAGCAGGGAAGAGCAAGTCAAATTTCAAAGCAGTAATCTTTTTTTTTTCCACTACCCGAGGTATTGTTCACATTTAATGGGTGCTTGAAAGTCAGACCATTAACTAGGTATACTATAAGGAGGTTTTGACAAACCCTCATGAACAGGTGAGAAGAAAAAGACCTGAAATGTGGAAGAAGGGCTCATGGAATCTTCACCATGAAAACATGCCGTCATACAACGTACTGTCTGTTAAGACGTTTCTAGCGAAGCACAAGGTCCCTGTGTTGGAACATCCACCCTACTTACCTGACTGAGCCCCATGTGACTTTTTTATATCCAAAGATCAAGTCTGCATTAAAAGGAACCCATTTTGAGTCCATAGATGCCATGAAGGCAAAGGTGATGGAGGTAATGAAGAACCTGTAGCATTGCTTCCAACAGTGGAAACTTTGTATGGAGCTGTGTAGGGGTCGGGGGAGGGGACCTCTTTGAAGGTGATTTCTGTGATTAGTTGAATAACAGATTTTAGAACATCAGTCCTGTTGTTTTATAGCTGCTCCATGTATTCCCTTCCCTTGCAGTCTATCAAATAGGCTCCTTGGTGTATGTTTAGGAATCATTCTCTGGGCACTTTGTAGAGTAAGTGTAGTGCTGTGTGTTATGTTATAAACTGAAGGGCAGAAGGTGTAGAAGGTATCTGATTAAACAGTGCAGTACCTTCGAACCTTTTAACTGGAACAGGCCACAGGATTAATCTGTGATGATTCTGAAATTTAATTAGTGCAGTTCAATTAATCATGTTTTGTTTTCTGTCTTAATTTCTGAATTCATGTTCCAGTCACAACCAAAACTTACACCTCAAGAACGGCTGAAGAAAAAAATGCAAGCACTACTAAACAGACAATGTAAGTGTACCATATGCTTTACTGGAGTCGGTGTGTTTGTAAATTAATGTCAGTAAGTAGTATTTGAGGTCCTCATGACACTGATTAAGAAGAGTGTGGTGTTCTGGGTTGTAATGCTGTGTATTTCAGAAAAAGAGTGTTATGTTTTAAGGGTGAAAATCGCGTCCTTCTTCAGGTCTTAATTGTAAACTGAGCTTGGTGTGTGCTGCTAGTTTCTTGCTTGGCTTACTTTTTCCCCCTGAAGATGGAAGTGATATGCTCCTCTGAAACATCACATTCAAAAGAACATACTTTTCATGATCTCACAAAGAATGAAGATACAGAATGATAATTTTAAAATGAAGGGATTGTGTGAGATGCTTCTAATCGATATTCCCGTAAAGGAAAGATAATCTCAAATTTAAGAATTGTTCGGTGTGTTCATTTTTGTCCCCCATAGACAAGGCTGATAAACGAGCGGAAAGAATGCGTCATGAAAAACAAGAGCAGGAACGCCAGGACCGTGAGGATGAATTAAGGGAGATGGCCATCAAGTTGCGGAGGAGGTAAAATCATGCGTACAGAATTTAACTAAAACAAATATAAAGTAGATAATGAGTTTTTAACAGCTGCTGCTTTTATGGCAAGTTTTAAACATTAAACAGCTGTGCTTTGACAGCAGCCGATGTGGGATCTGAAGACTTTGCAGTGGTTAAATAATAAGATATTCCTTGGCTATCAGCAATGTCAGTTGGTTAAAAATGACTGATGTTCCAGGGCGCTCCTCTGTGTGTATCATCAGGGTGTGATGTTGCATTGTATCCAAACTGTCACATTGGTATACTGACCTATAGCCCATGATTGAATGTGAGTGAAGTCAGTTGGGGACAATTAGCCAGGGGCTGCTGGGGAGGAACAGAAATGCAGAGACACAGATTTGATGGTGAATGAATCAAGAAATAATTCATAAAAAGCATGTTCATGGTTTTTGATACAGAGAGCGAGAGCGCCGTCACCGCATGCAGGATGATGATGATGACGATGATGATGAGGAGTATGATGCAGAAGAGAGAGGAAGCTCGCCATCATCTCAGTCTGGTGGTAGTTCTCCCAGTCCATCACCACCTCCACCCCCCACTCCAAACAAATCTGGGACTTCTGGACACAGGCGTAATCGTTGGTGAGTGGTATATTGTGGGAATTCCCTCCTAGTGTGTTTTTGGAAGGTCATGGTTTGATTCAATGCCCAAAGACCAGATATTCTGACCACTCTTTTTGACCTTCTTTGGCCCCCGTTGGAAAGTGGTACTTTAAAATATCTCTCTCCATCATCATTCTGCCATTCAGTACATAACTTTAATAGCTGAGAAAGTGTTTTTAAATAAACTAATAAAGCATTATAGTCATTCATAATGTAGAAAGTACATTACAACAGTTCGCACATTTTACTCATGGATAATGAATCTCTCACTGTTGTCTAGATCTTGCACTAGCATCTAGTCTTCTCTTCTTTATCCTTCTGTATTCTTCTGTCACATTCTGTCTTCGTTTGGTCAGTTCTCTCCCTGACATAGGTTTTGGTTGAGCTGTATGGAGATCACATCCTTGAAGGGTGCTCCTTTTGCATCATCAATGTGAATGTCTATTTCTGTATCTGTTGCCTAGGAGACGTCTTCAGTAGTTCCTCTGTTGACATGATTATTGAGGCTGTTTTATGGTGATGGCGCTGTGTAGGAATGGACCATATATAGGTCAGGTTTTGCATGATCTCACACTGTGTGTGTGTATTGTTAGAAGAGTCTTTATCCAGACTGTTTGAACAGTCCGCTTGCAAGCCTTAGTGATGTGAGTCTGCTAGGATTTGTGCCTTGTAAACAGTGTGTGTTTGTGTATATATATATAAATAACTAAATCTGTATTAAATGTGAATGGGTTGTCAGAAACTTGAGAACACAGGAAATTTTATTTTATGTTTATGTATTTCAGCTCAGAATTATTGATTGCAAACATATTATTTTTGTGGGTAAAAATTGTCGTGAATATTACTCAAATTTGAAGTCTTCTTGCTGACTTTTCCAAAGCAGATAACATGATTTCTTCTTTATATGTTTTGGAATGTGTTTTGTCCACAGCTGTGGTAATTTATGATACATAATCTTAAAAAATAGATTTGTTATGAAATGTTTTCTCTGCAGCTGAATTTATCATTAGACAGGCTTGGCATTTCTAACATGTAGTGTGATATTGGAGCATGGCAATGGAAGGGTTAATATTTGAATATTTCCACAGGTTTTGGTGGGTTGAAAGCATCATATATGTAATGTTCGTTTGTGGCCCCAACATAAATTAGTTTGTGTGGTTCAGAGTTTGCAAGCTGTTGAGGCAAGACTTCTAGAAAGTTAATTTTCAAAAATCTAATTTAATTCCACCATTTCTTCCCTGTGTGTCATATAGCTTGTACAGTGATGTATAATATATGCATTCCTTTTCCTGCGCCCCGGCTGTTAGTGTAAGAGGATTGAAAGAGAATATATTTTCTCTTGAGAGTTAATGTTTAACATCTTCCTCATTAGGGACCGAGCTGATGAGGAAGTTAGTCGAGGTGACCATAGAGGGCGTCGTGGTCGTAGTACAGAACGGCAAGATCGGCACAGTAGAAGCAGGAGCCGGAGCCCACCACAGAGATCAAGACGTCAGAGGTATGTGTTTCTGTGTAGGAAGGATATAGTATATATACTCTTTCTGGATGAGGACATAAATGTATTTGCTGTGTTTCTGCATGAGAAGGATATACCATATTTACTGGTTTTCTGTGTGAGAATGTGCCACATTTATCTGCACTATTCTGACACCCTTACCTCAAGAGAAACAGATAACAATGGTAGATACTTTTCTGCCACATTACTACAGGATCATCAATGAAGAATGCCAGGATCATAAAAAACTATCACTCAAAAAATGTTAAAACATGTTGACATGATTCGAGTGTCAAATTGCAGAGAAATGTCTGAAGTTATTGTCTTACCTTAGTGTATTCCAGTATGTGCTCCATTTGTCACTTGGCAAATATTGAGATAGTATTCGTTCTAATGCCAAGTTCACTTAAATATATCTGGAGGTACTGTTGTGATTGCTGCTGTGATTCTGTCCTGTGGGTGCCTGAGATCCAGAATCTTTTCATCATACACAATGTTTTCAGTGTAGCCCCACAAGAGAAAGTCCATTGGGGTAAGCTCTGGGTTTTTGGGAGGCTGGAAGATTGCTTGGCCCTCCCATTCTAGGCCTTGCATAAAAGTTGTATCGATTGATCAACTTACAACAGCGTCT